TCAGAACGCAAGCCAATAGCAGTCCCAAGCTGTGCTGGATGATTTGACCACACTGCAAAACCAGAGCAGTGGTTGGACGCGGTGCGGAGCGTCATAAGATTAGCAGAGTGTCATTTCAAACAGAGATAGCGTTTAATATGTGACGGAATGTGGGGTTCACTAGACAGCTGCCATTGGTTGCTTGGCTATATATCATGGCGTTAGGAACCTAAGTTAAAGTAGTAGAATGGTCCTTAACTCCATAGTGATGGGCCTAGATCGCAGTTTGGTCACCCTAATGCTTTGCTCAACCAAACTGGGCGCGACGACCGTTGGTCGAGCACATATGAACTCTCTCACAGGGCAACCAGATGCTGTGCCGTAATGACAGGTATTTCAGCAGATCTGCAGCTTATCTGCTAAACTAACCAGTCGAAGAAAATCAACATCAATAATGAAGTATTGCTCGCATACACCGGTTTACCTATGAAGGCAGCGGTGCTCGAAAGCGTCTGGCATCTGAGCGTCGTTAGCGTGATCCGGCCAAATTATTGTAAATAAGAATCTGAAACGCCCGTACCGTAGCACATAATCTGGAAGTTTGAAAGGAGCTTTGGTCGATTGAGCCTGACAGAATCACTTTGGCTTTAGGAATACTCAGCATTTGTAAGTTTAACCGCTTTATCTAAATATGTTTCTCAATTATCCACCCAAATTGAAGGCAGGACACCTTCTATGAACAGCTGCAAGTAGGTCTTAGGCTTAATGAGGCCGAAAAGCTTTCTGAACTATGAACACCTCTAAATTGCTCGGCTCTTAAGGAAGCAAGGTTTGTAACAAGACTGTTCACGTGCTCTAAATCACGATGATAATCTCCGGAAGAGGATCGGCCTCGATGATTCGATTGAACTTTTCAGTCTCTCCAACATGCTACACGACAATCATGAATATGGGTGACGAGGCTGTCCAACTCTGTTCAGCACACACTACACACTATCGGATATGAGTGCAATCTCCACATAAGTGCCTACTGACTTAGAGTTGAGTATAGATAAGAGTTGTTCACGTCACAGTAATACGGTGATACTCCCATCGGCTGTTCCAGACGCTACCCATGTGTATAGCTCAACAAGGATGTTTTGGCACCGAAGGTTGGAACCTTATCATGTGCTCCACTGATCCCAGAAGCTTGCTCACAACATACCTCAGTGAAACCCGTTATACTACTCGTGTTCGCTCATGCAAGCGTTCATGAACCCATTCGGTTGTCATTGGCTGGCTGCGTTCTTCGCAACTCAACATCTTCGCTAAGATCACTTATGTTGCTTCTAACAACAGAAAGCAACAGTCCAAATGTGATATGATGTCTACTGTTCGTATGTATTGAAGGACTGTATTTTGTCTGTTGCTTCCGGTAAAAAAGTATCGTGGATGATTAACTTGCCTAGTACAAGGAAGTGTGCATGCATGCACTTGAAGTTATCAATATTGGTGGCTTTCTGTGTTTGCTTATTAATCGGTCCAAATGAACTCAACAGACCGGCTAGTGGTTCCTCAGCTGGTACTAAATGGCGTAAATAGACACTCCTGTGGACCCCGATACTAAACCAATCGGTTGGAGACAGCGTGTAGTCAGAAACCAATATATTCAGCGGAATCCTTTTACGTCTTCTGCGTTTTCGTCATACTTTTTCACACAGAGACAAAGTGAGGAGGTACTTTCAGTAACGTTTAGTGTTGGTTGGAAAGTGCAAAATGATCACAAATGCTTCGTCAAGATGCATTGATTATATCCAAACTTTTCTAGGGAGGTATAGCTAATGATATCCACATATATATTCCCGGTAAGTGTCATCGGACACACAAGGAGGAAAGGGCTGGCTACCGTTGCACCTATTTGTAATGCAACTTTTTATTAGTTAACCAAGAAAAAAATAAACTCAAATAGCGAGCACTTAACAAGCACAGCACCTGACACCTGTTCATGTAGTTGGAGTCCACCAACATTCTTCATTCCTACTGCCCTTTAACGCAGCTGAATTGACGGCCATTTCCTGTGAACGTTGCACACTACTCCTGGTTCTCGCCTTTCGATGAAGGCCGAAATGACCAAATGCCATTTTGGGGCATGATGGGTCACTACCTCTGCCATAGTAACTGACTGGGTCATCGGATAAGTCCTGCCCCATTACTAGTTGTCACATATCCGCGTCTATAACTCTTACATGGACTGGAGTCACTTCACGAGGCTTCTGAGCTTAAGGTCATCATCCGTCGATTTTTAAACTCCTATCCATTTCCATACTATCTAGTGAACTTTTAAGAATATTACACTTTTATATCATCTGAAACACCTTGGCAAAACTGCTTTTGTTTGATACTATCTGTGTTATACCTGAAAATGATGCTCATCTTGACCATGTAGTTGAAAGCAATCCACAGAACAACGAATGTTTTTCCGAAGCATCTTGTGCCTTATTCTTTATCAATAACAGTTGTTCAGGGAGTCAGCTTATTTTCTTAGTTGCGAATGTTGTTTTAATGGTTTGCACAAGCCATTGTAGACCTGGATGCCCCTAAATCGTGGGCTTAACTTCGTTCTAGCAATTAATACAAACGTTCTGGGTTATGGAAATTACATTATTCTATGGTGCATAAAACTAGTCCTCGGTTTGATGCGTTATCGTTTATGAAGCGGGTGATTTCGCTGATCACCGGTAAGTTTTCATTGCAGCCACATCATCAGCCGTCGATATAAGTAAATTTAGAAAAAGATAGCAGCACGTACAGCAATTGGTTTTGTGAGTCGGCGATTAACAGATGCCCGTTGAGAGCTTAGTACCATGTCCTCGGGTGGTGTAGCCACTTTTCGAGTTCGTCCACAGTTACAAAGTGTAAAAAGGAAACATGTCGATCCTTGTCCAGAGAAGAGAGCTCCTGTTGCTATAAATGACAATCGACGGCACACTTCTACCAGACCAAAATACGTAGAATCCGAAATAGTGGATCTGTGAGCGCATAGTTGACCAGAAGAACACATTTATACATGTTACTATGTAAGACCAATCTCAGCACCAAAAGCTCTGAGACACTTTCCCCTATCAGATATATGTTTGTCATTTCATTTCTCCGTCCTGAAAACTCTTGGTTACGCATATCTTACCTCTCAATTCGCTTATGATTGACATGTTAGATTTGACAGATTCACCACACTTGCATTCATGACGGACACAATTCATCTCATCACCTAGCTGGCAGGAAATTATAACCTTTAAAGAGATAGATCTTCAGTTTGTCAATCACTTGAGTCGCTGAAAGCCCTCGATTTTGGAAAGACATCACGTGGGGCAGCTAGGTGTAAACAGAGTCAAATACACACCAAACAGTAGATATAAGGGTTTGAATTAAGACTGAAATAAGACAATTTGGAGTTTAAACCTCCTCTAGGTTTTGCATCATCTAACTTAAGGAAAGAACTCACCGTAACATAGTGATAAATCGCACAGAGTCCTTTTCATGGATTGATGCGCAGCACTGGAGACAGTTGAAGCCAGGTAGCGTAATATTGAATACTGAACTCGGATATTCGGAGATTGCGTTGTAATAGTTTGCAACAATATCGAGTGATTTCTTTAGAGCTCTGATCGTTGTTGCGTAAAAGCATTTCATTAAAACGAAGCGCCGTGAAAATGGATGCAAAATGCATATGTGCTGCACAATAGTTGAGAAATTTCAAGTTGCGCTTTATTCGGTTTCGACTTGCAGGTTTCTGACTTAATAGATGGATTGCACCATATGTTTGTTTCACAGATTTGGCGACGCGAACTAAAAATCATTGACCATAGGAAAAAGATTGATGCTACGGCAATGACAATTATCCGAGAGTGGTCGCCTTATGACAGCGCTAAACAGTATCGTAGGTTTGTGCATTGTTGACGCTGCGAATAATTTATAAAACCCACGCCCCTATTTATCCAACTTGACCTGTGTTTGGGCCAACAGCTCTTAGCCAGGCAACTTACCTAAAGGGCTTACACCGGTCTCATTTACTGTAGGGACAATGTTACCGCGTTTGCTAGGATCATGAACACTTTGGTAAGAAAAGTACTTTGTACGCACGGGTAATCGTGCCGCGACTGCAATCGTGTACCCGCATGGCAGGCCACCCCAGCTGCTTACACACACAACCAGTGATGGCCAAAAAAGCCGGTTGTTGGTTTGAAGATGGTGTGTCTGTAGCATCGCTTAAAATACCTTCTGCTCATACGTACTAACGCATACACTGAATCATTATTTTACTAATCTTTGTTGTACGCCTGTCACTGGTGTGAAAATCAAACTATGCATTGGAAGTCCATAAAGGACGAAAATGGTCAATCACAGATGGGTATGTGGGAAAGATGCAGAGCGTTTCCGTATCTTGCAATATCGACAGAGTGATTCCCCGTCACCATCTTAAAACTCATGAACACAATTCACACAGTAAGGTGCTGTGACAAGTCTTAAGTAGATCGTCTGAGTGTTCAAGTGCACAGCAACAACTAGGTAATGATATTTGTATTGTGGACTACCCACCGTGTGTTTTGGATTGTGACACGCAATCGCAATTGTGGATTCGGCTCACTTTGAATCCGGCATTGCCATTCCGATCAAAGTGACCGTATCCGACAAGTAGGTACATTTGCCGGAGTTGCATACCATACTCGCGAAGCTCAATCGATTCGATCAATATACCGTACCAGCTCATAGGAATGCAATTTGTATCTGGTCAACCTCTTCTAATCTGAGTCAGGAAGAGACCTTTTGAAATGCAGCACATCTAGGCAATAATGCCTCATACATGCCTTACATGCTATATGTCAAATATGTAGATGAATAGCCAATAGTTAAGCTGAACGCCTATGCATGCCATGTGTTGAACTCAAGTTTCAAGCGGTCTCAACATGTCTTAAATAAAGGAATACTGTACAATTTACTGGTAGCTAGTCACCATTAAAACTTAAAGGTTTTCCCTTTTACAGGTTGAGATTGCTACAGAAGACGAGCAACGTGAGCACATGGAATTGTCTAACAATTGTCAAACAGATGGGCAAGTGCATGTGGATACTTTAAACCGAAAAGATATTCCCGCGGGACTTCGATTGGGAAACAGTTCAGTAAATCGACCAAGAGATACATCACCAATCGGAGGATACCTGAAGCATCATCATAATCCGCGGATAACACGGTCAAGACCACTGAGCGTTATTGAACTGGACTCGGAAATTGACGCAATGTTGGATGACTTGTCCAATTATGATGCACTAGATGCAACTAGTATAGGCGGGGGGCATCGCTCGCGTACCATGAAGAAATCGCCAAGACCTCTGAGTCAAGCATTTAGTTTGAAGAGCGAGGAGGCGACAGAACCACCACCACCGCAGATGAAAGGATACGTTAAAGTGTGCAAACCAAGGCGATTCGGCATCAAGGTATTCAGGCGACTATTTTTGGCCGTGGATGCGCTAAAATTGATGGTATACAAGGTTAGTGATGAGGACACGAAACAGTTTGTTTATAAAGTCACTGGCCAAATCACCTTTTTCAAGTACTGCACTAAATTAACTTGCGACTCTGGCAAAAATACTTCAAGCGCCATGTTGTATTTTAGATTGTTATAACTCCTCTCTCAGTGAAAATTTATCGCACTTCATCCTTCGCAGTAGAAGCGCTGCACGTTTACGTTCGTAGCGCGACTCTTCACCTACCACGGCACATTACAACTATGCGTCATGCAACAGATGAGTGCAACGGAAATACCAAATAGGGCGAAAGGATGCTTGATTTGACCGATGCTTCTCTACTTTAAGACATTATCCTACGTGGTAAATGCGGGTTCTCCTGACATTTAATCATGCTGGTCTGAGCTTAGTACGTTGTGTTGTTTTCGAGTCAGATTCTTTGCGCTGGCCTTTCATCAAACAACCGTCACACACCCGGAAAATAGTGTTCAGCTTCATACCTACATTGCTTTCAGAAACATTACCCTGCTTATGTTTTGATTCCATAGAAAGATGGTGGCACATTAAGGGATGTCAAGGTTCAGGGTATTGACCGCATATTTTAACGTTGGAAGTGTACCTGGCAGTGAAGGTTGGCTATACAAGCTATATGACAAATAGTTACTGATGTCTGCTGCTAATCCCTAATGGCCTTGTCGTCTTAACTACGGATCAGTAACCGTGAGCCAGCAGATTCTAGCCCCACAGAAGGCAGTTGAAATGTGAATCGCTGACGATTAGCCATAGGATAAAACAGTCATCAATTGCTCTTCCGGAAACGTGACTACCGTTTCAATTAGTCTGCCTGTGATAAATTTAACTTATCTTACTCCCCTACCCCTTCACTGTAATGCAAGATTCGACAGATGGATAATGTACTTGAACGGTTCAGTTTGCAGTGTCCGCGGTTCCATAACACTTACAATAACATCATTGATGACGTATGTAGTTTGACAAAATTTGGCTGTGAGCTCTTTTGCATTTGACGTAACGTTACGCTCGAACGGTTGCCTATTCGACTGAGTAGCGCAAGCTGATAAAAAGAAACGCCAGGCATTTTGTTCTGTTGAGTAGGCAACGAATACCAAAAAACTGTTTTTACTTTTGGAGCCCATAAGAAGAAGGATTCACCGAAAGTAGCGTCACTGCAAACTCGACTCGTTTGAGTGGTTAGCTCCAGTCTGGACCATGAAATTATGTTCCAATCGGTTACTAGTCACGATCCCAAGTGAACACCTCGGAACCTCAACTTTCCGCTGATAACCGTATCTCCACACAATTCTTTTACTCTGCCCAGAGTAACTATGTTGATTTTGCTTTGGATCATTAAGTGTTATACTCGTTTCAGTCGTGAAGATGGTGAAAAATGAAGGATCCCTGATATATGTGTTTCATCTGGATCCCACCAAACTTTTGTGAAGCAACGAACCACGGACCGCCCATCCTGAGGCTTCTCACCAAGCTTCACTTTAGATTTTGAAACTGTTCGATTCTAGAAAACTACCTGGCTGGATGAAGCTGTCATGTCCGCCTCATCTGAGATAACCGGTTAGCTGCGACCCCTTGACACTGGGCCTTTCCTGCTATGAGCGTTGACCAGGTTGAAAAGATGGGGTAGGCGCCAAAATGAACTTTTTCATCAGCCAAACTCCAGATGCAGGAGGGTGAGACCAAATCAAACGGTCTGCCGTTGGCATCGTGGGGTAAAGCAAGCGATCAAGTTTATTAACTGAAAGCCAACGGATAGCCATCACACCACTACATGACCCCTTATTGACAACTGTTTTAATCTCAAGTCCGACATTCCGGACTCGATGTTATGGAGACCCGGCTTTCGAATGACGACAGGTGCGCTGATCAGTAATAATCAGGTAAATAGTGTAAAAAGCGAGCCAACTAGTTGCTTGACTAAACATCATTGTACAACATTTTATCACTACCGTCGTTAATATCAAAGCGAAGAACTTGCAAGTCGGTTTGAGTGGGACGAATTTTAATTTAGTGTGTAGAAGCACAAAGTTTGGCACCTTCCAGAATCAGAGCTTTGTGGCCGCCTAATTTCTAGTACGTAGAAATTCGTCACATCTAGACTCAATCAGACAGCCGCCACACGCCCGGAAAAGCACTGTACGCGCGTTTCATCCTTTCGGGAATCGTCAGCCGTGCACATTCCATCACATCCTTGGTAGGGCTCGAACCCGCAACTCAACTGTTGCCAGTCCGTGGTTGAGACCACTGAGCTATGGGGGACGGCAACGACCATCGTGAATAAGTTACTAGATGTGATATAGCGCCGCTAACTATCCACTGACTTACACGTTACTGCCGTGCAGAGGACAGGGTAGCCCCCTCACCAAGCGACGAGTTTAACAAACCTAAGCCGCCAACTAACTTATGGCATTATAAGCAGTTTGTTCTGCGTACTGATTACAGAAGAGTAGTAGGGGGAGTTGAATGGTATAGGTAGAAATTCGTCACATCTGGACTCCCCCAGACAACTACCACATGCCCGGAAAAGCACTGTACGCGCGTTTCATCCTTTCGAATTTCTATCTATACCATTCAACTCTCCCTACTACTCTTCTGTAATTTCTAATAGTCGCTTCTAGTACTGCCATTTTTGTGACCGGTGGATCATGTGCGTTACATCAAATTTTCTCACTAATCAGAATGAAGAGGATCAGAAGAATCGGAACGATGCAGTGGAGGTGATATATCTACCGGGCTGTGAAGTTCAACCAGACCTATGCTTGGCGTCGGAACGATACAACATACGCGTTTTCGTCCCCATATCTAGAACGAATTTGCCGCTATCCGCGGCCTTCAATCTCAACTCGCTGGATAGCGCTGGTGGTGTGGACGAGGACCTGGGAGTTGGAGGCCGTTTGAAAAGACGAGCATCGCTTCTCTCTCTAACCTCCTTGTCCCACTTTGGAGCTTCTTTCGGACTGCAGCCAACGGGTTCTACTTCCGCTGGAGGAGGGCTTTCAGGTGCATCGGCCGCCGTATTAGGACTGGTCAGCGAGCTTGTGCTGCGGTTCTCGGATGCTGATTCTTATGCGGATTGGCTCGCTTATCTTAGGTTGGCTACTGCTGTGCCCTACCTTGGGCTTCCAGTCAGAGACGAGCGCCATGAATGGGACGGGACTGTGCCACACAGAGAATGGGCCAACGTGCTGAATAAAACTGTATACGAGGCAGAGAAGAAGGCGATTCTGAGCATGATTCAACTCATCTCCCCATTGTCAGCATCCAAAGATGATCAGAATGACGGTGTGATACAACTAACAAATCTACATGAGCGCCTGGAGAACAGATTTTGTGATTTCTTGCCAATGCGATACGGTAGCACTAGGAATACCATCCGAACCAGGGATTTGAGAACTAGGGATCAGACCGAGTTGACTTCCACAAGAACTGGCACAGTGTCGGTAGATTCAAAACCACCAACCTACTCGGCGACCGGTAATTTTTTCAGTCCAGTAAGTCACATTATTTGCAGGTGCCCTTTATGAGTGTGAATGTATCCCAGCTAGTTGAAGCAGTACAGAGGAATGTGGTGTTGTAGACTGGTCGGCTTTTGTTTCCCCTTGCGACAGGATACCATTGTCGTTGTGCGTACTGTGTAGAATGCTTAGCTTAACCTATTACTCACAGTTTCACACAGCACAAAACACTTTAGAATAAATAGTAAATTTGTTAACACTGTGACACACGAAGGCCTCCAGATGTGCTGCGCCGAGCTGCGTGTGATGCGTTGTTCAGCCAGATGATTGTGAAGCACTGACTTGAACCGAACTTTGTAGTTAGGGTGTTCGAAAGCGATATTTCGTTATACGAGACCATAATCAGCCTAGCCGGCTGCTTGTTTGTTGTCATAGTGTGAATTACATCTTAAGTACACTGTCATGTTGACCGCGTTGAGCGCTAATTAGAATTATCAAGTGCTTTTCTTCGACTCCAAACTAAATATTGGAAAACAAACTCAAGCCAACATGTAACCGTAACCAGGTTATTCTACACCTTGCTGATTCGCAGTAACCCTTAGAATCCCATAATTTGCTATCTCACAGAGTCATTTACACCCATCACAGCACAAGGCAAGTATTATTCGTCGCACTTGCATGGCATACTCTCGGATCAGGGGACTGACAAGTATTCAAGCCAAAATGAAGTACATAAGCGCTTGGGAACAAATGCATAATCACGGAATAGTCTACTTTCCTGCCCGCATCGAGGTAACCCTCCCGATGTCTAGTTTGTTTGGAGAAGAACAAGCTGGGACAACGACTACCAAAGGGGTTCCATGGATGAATCGCCCCATGGGTGGTGGAAATATCACCGTTTCTTACAGCCGGCGTTTAGAAGCCATTGGTATTGGGCCTACTCGAGTCTATCGATGCGATTTACACACCGGTGACGTCATGGCCAGCTGGCGTCTGTCCGCCATTCAAGGTTGGAATATCAACTGGGAGTTGAGCGAACTGGTGCTTCTGATTACCGCCCCACTGTTGAGTAAACGCACGGAGGATCAACGAAGCCCAAGCCCGACACCAGCCTCCGCGAACTGCGCCGGCAAAGTGATCATCAAGCCGGTGGAGGTGTCAGTGAGAACCGTTGCGGAATTTCTTGGTGGATATGCTTTCTTGAATCTTCGATCGCCGGAAAAAAATCAAGGTTTGGATGAAAGAGTTTACTACAAGCTTACCACTGGGTCGGCTCTACCCGTGCTTCCATTTGGAGCACAGCAATACAGATCAGTGCATTCATAATACCGAACTTGCTGGCATTGTTGCGTCGGCATATGTTGTTTATACAGAGTACGGTGCCAATTATGTAATTGGATCTAAGCAGATTATTTTATTTTCTGCACTCAGCAATACATATGATCGTCAAAAAGCGTCGTCAGTATGAACCAGCCTTTATGCAGCTTTATGAATCAGCTTTAGTTAGGTCTATCAAGTCATTGAATTTCGCGGGCATCTTTGAAATCAAGAAATGTACTGTATTACACGTATCCATCACGTCTAGTCATGGTTCTCCAAACAGACGTGTTATGCGAACAGTCAACATGCACATATTTCTGAAGCTTTAAAAATGTTATTATTGTCAATGACAAGACCTAGTAAGCCGATTTTCTTGAGAGATTCATTTGCATCAAACACTATACTTTTTGTCTTTAAGGGAGCTTTCAAATATGTAAATTGTATTCGCTATTTTCGCCGTTATAATGGTGTATTCGATTGCTAAAACTACATACCAGACTTTCTTCGTTTCATTCTTATTTTGTAATCCAACCGGAATACTTTTTCATTGTTTGGGAGCTGCAGAAGAATATGGGTTACTCAGCAAACAAAACCACTTATATCCTAGCTGAGGGTTGAACTAACTTTAGGCATACATTAGCAACGACCACATGGAAGACCACTCGAACAACTATAGAGACGGATGTAGTAGGGGAGTACAATGGTGGAACAGTGTATTTATCAAGGATAGAGAAAACAATACTCCAAACAGTTTTCGTAGGTAAATAATGACATTAAAAATGAATCTACTGAGAAAAACGAGTAGCGGTGGACTTACCGCAAATTGTACGTAGATGCATCGTCTGGTTACTTTGTCGCTCGTCCCAGTACCTTTTTTTAACCCATGTAATGCGTTTTCAAGTCGAGTTTTTAATTTAGCTAACATAGGAGCGGCGATAACCGAATGCGGAAGTAAGTTCCACGGCTGAGATAGTGGAATGGAGAAAAAGTCCCGGTGGCATTCCACCCGTCTGTACTGTGTCGCTAACTTCAACATATGACCTCTCAGTGAAGTGTTGTGGCTGAGATGCCATAAGCATCGGCATTGGTGGTTAGAATCCTTGAGGATTTGATGCACAAATATGAGATCGCCTCCCAGATGATATTGTCCGCTAAAAATTCCTAGAGTCTTTATTCTCAACAGGTAAGCGAGCTGAAACCATCGTCACCTGAACGCAGAGCTAAAACAATACGGTTGGTTTGTAGTCTGGTTTCTGCAACGCCGTACTTGAGTATCGCTGGTAGTATTTGGAACAATTAGTCATATTATCCAATCTTAAAACTTCACAACTGTACTTGTACCATCTTAACACCCCACCGAGTGTTCTATTCAGAAATGCTTGCTAGCACTGTGAGTACGAGAAGCTCTTTAGCTAACTCTCAAGTACAACCAGAAACAACCGTAAACCTCACGAATGTCACTGCTAAAACTCCATCCGATAGTGCTGAAAAAACGCAACGTTCAGGCAAAGCTACAGTTACTGGTAAACCACCTAAGTACAAAAGGACGACTAGCCTCAAACATAATCATGCTGGCCCCGTGATCCTGTTCTCGGTGCCACCGAAAATTTGCAAATAATTCGTAATGAAATGGGTGACTTAAAAACCAAATCAGCAACATTGACGATTTACACCTAACCCCTAAAAAAATTAAGACTTTGACTAATTTACTGCAGATACCAAGCAGTACAATTGCAGAACACCTAATTCCTGTAGGGGAATTTATCGATACGATAGCCACAGAAGCCTTTAATAGGGTGTGGTGCTCAAAAAATGCGGTAGCCTTTAATATTTCCGACAAAATTATTATAACTTCAATACAGAATATTTTGTTTAGAGCTAGCCGTGTGACTAACGTGATGTGCGTTTGCATGAGGCTGAGAAAGAAGATTCAGCACCGCCCCTGTCCCATACTGTTTCAAGTTACAGGTGCTCTGACTGCCACAAAGTTTATCGGAAAAAGTGATCAAATTTCTGCCAAAACTACCTTTAAATCCCTAAAAATTGTAGCAGATAAAACCCCACTTCAAAAAGAACGCTGGCGAACAGACAGTCTCTCCCGTACACCGAGAAAGCCATTCAACAGCCCTTTTGCCTGTTCATCAGCTACTGTGGCTGGGTTGTTAGAATCCGCATACCGATTCTACGATAACATTGACTTAGATAATACCAATGCATAATAAACAATGATATATAACGGGTAAAAAAGCGGATGCTTGACATGTCCCGCAGGGTGGTTAGAGTGAGAAAAGATAGATCAAGGGATAATGGAATGGTCGGTTCGGGCGATTACAGATTTAACTGCTCTGCCATATAAAGGGAGTTTGCAATTAGAATGTTGGCACACAAAATAATAAGGGTAGTGGTTATTGATCCCGTAATAAGCAATAAAAACAATGAAAACTAGCAAGGCCATCCCTTACTCGTATGCAGCTATCTCGGGTCGACGGGATACAGAAATCCAGTTTCTACAGTAGTAGCGTTTATCAAATTGTGTGCATGGGGTTTGGAGTGACTCATTCTCGAGTAGGGTTATGTCACTGTCCACTGTCTGTGGTGCATTAGTGTCAGCATTTGGTGGTAATGGGCACGTAGTGTAAATGTGACAGAGTATCGTCAAGGCGTTTTTTTGAAAAGGGATAAGGTGGGAGCATTAATTATATGTTCTGGGAGAGCATTCCAAGTCCGTGACACTCGAAGGGAGAAAACGTTTCTCCGACAATTACTTACTACTCAGCGTTGATACCACTTACTCACCTCCATCTAGTAAAGTAAATATTCTTGAAGCTCCATCAGCCGTGGCGAGTGCAACTTTCGGTGGAAAGACGACACAGCCCACTCAACTGCGTCCTAAGGTGGCCGCTGGAGGAAAAAACAGCAAAATGTGTACATTCAGTGATGAAATTGATTTTGATATTTCCGGACATCCGTCGAAGGCTCACGAATCTGGCTATAATGATAGTCAGTTCGACTCATCTAAAAAGAAAATAACAACTCAACCACCAATCGAAGGGCACCACCAATCATCAATTGCCCAATTCTGGTCAAATGTTGTGTCTGTACCGCAGGCCTAAGACAAACTAGGCAAAAGTCGCTACCATACCAGCTTCACAACTGCTGAATCCAGTAGCATATCAAGTACGCATGTGAGAACTACCACTTAAATGGGTTGTACGAGAATTCTCCACCAAAATGGCATCCGCAGTTTTCTACTCTTCAAGATTCCAGACGCTGTAGACATTCTTGGGGCAGCGGGTTCTATTTGCTCTGCATCCGGCATACAACCGAGCTAGGTCAAGGTCACTAGGGCGCACAAGAGGATCTATGCTTTTCCAGTACCAGTTAGGTTAAGTTCGACAAATCAAGCTACTTTAAATAAAATGGTTGGTAAGCTAACTTTTATCCGAACAGTGCCAAAGCTAACAAACGTTTTCTACAGTAAACAGCAATCTCGACCGCGGGCACCTACCCGCATGAACGGGGATTCACCAAAGAATCACAGTAATCGATCCGCACCGTGTCATACTAACATGATCAAGGCATCATCATCATTCATTCTAGGTGCCCCTCGCGAAGCAGTATCTTACAACCAACTGAAACCACTTACTGAAACATCTGGTAGTGCTGATTCAATAATGGGATCAAAACGAGTGAAATCGTGCATGCACATGCTGATGGAACTCAACGTTCCCGATTCCTTGCGCATAGACTAATTTGCTAGCATCATAGGAGTACTACTTAAAAATAGTAACTCTTGCTTAGGTGCGCAACGACCAAGCAGCATATCCCCTATGCAATCTTGTCCAATACTAGTGCATTTGAAGAAGCCACATGATGTAAACCAGTTTTTAAACGAAGACCACAGTATACATCAATTCAATGGACTCCAGAACATCACCATTCAAAAATGAGTGGCGTGCACAAACATGCCAGACACTCTAACGCGGAACCTTTACCTAGATGCAGCGCCAGTTGCCAAGCTGCCGTTATGCACAAACAGAATTCCGCCTCCAGGAGTATGTAACATTAACTCTGAGGGTTCTAATGGCGTAGATTCGGCTAACCACAATCATTTTCATGGTATCCGTCCGCGACCACCACTCCCGTCAACAACTTTCCGGCGATGGTTCGCGACCAAAACTGTTTCAACTGTACCTGAAGTTGCTAGGCCACTCAAGAGCACCGTTAGCCTTCAGCTAGCACAATTAAATTCACCCACACCCGCGGTTCATTGTGAAATACAGCAACTTCTCAGAAACATATTAGAATCTCTTAGACCGCGAAATAGTTTCCTACTCTTCCTTATCAACGATCGTGAACGGACTGACATCGGCGAGCGTCTGCTGCAACGGTGTGCGGCGCACCAGTTGTTCCTTAGTAGCACTGCTTTTAGACACAGTGGGCGCCGAAGTGTCACTTGGCGGCCTCCTATAGCTGGCCAGCGATGGGCCCTAATTGACAACAGCCATGTTACAGGTGTCGTGGTTCCATCCTGGATTGCCGCTCGTACTGGAATACCTGCGTCGACTCTGATCATGCCTTAGTACGCTGTCGTTTCTCCATGAACTTTACCGGGTGCTGACGCAAGCGTCTCCACCGATTGGCAACTGAGAAATTGTCTCCGCCATCGGTCAGGTAAGCATATCAAGACGCACTGCATACCGAACTTCCACTGTCTTGTCCTAATGCCACTGAGCTTCAGTGGAATAGGATCTCGGCCGCCATGCACGACGCTGGAACATCTGCTTGTAGCACTATCAATCGTCACCGCACTAGTCACTGGATATCCGAGAGCACGGTGAACATGTTGGAATATAGAAGAAACTTCTCGGCTGACTCTGAGCACAATATGACCAGAAGGGCTGTTAGGTGCGAACTAAGGCGGAGCTTGCGTGCTGACCAAGAAGCCTGGTGGACCAGTCGGGCTCAGGAAATGGAGGAGGCAGGAGCAGTAGACAATTACTGCCAGCTCTTCCAGCTGATGCACACCACTGGCCCCATAAAACCAGGCGTCAGTGAGACAATCGGAGACGGCTCGGGTGAACTGATACACAATAAGGAACGCCGTATGGCTCGTTGGGCGGAACACTTTCAAGATCAGTTCAGCTAACGTCCATGCCCCCGGACCTTTTCCTACTCATTTGATGCAGGACGAGCCATGGACGGTTAGTTTAGAGCCTCTATCGGAGGCGGAGGTCCGAAACGCGATCACAGCCCTCAATCGTTTTCGTGTCGCTGCCCTGATTCCCTCCCACCTGCACTATTTAAGGATGGAAATGAGGTCCTCTGCAATGCACTGACCTCCCTATTCGAACGTACCTGGAAGGAAGAGTGTCACGGCCAATTGGAGCGAATCGATTATAGTGGCAATCTACAAGAAGCGCAGTCTCACAGACTGTTCTAACCACAGGGGTATTAGCTTAACGCCCGTTGTGAGAAAAGTACTGGCCTCGATTCTCGTTTGTCGTTTCA